ATCAGTTATTTCACCTTTCTGATTTCTGATCCTCCGCGGATGGGTTTGTCATTGGATTGCCAACTTGAAGAAAGACGATTTGCCATCAAACTTCTGGCCAGAGAAAAAAGGTAATATGTAGCCAACATTTGAAGGAAGAATGTTTTCAAGATAACTTGGATAATAGCGCGTTGTGACAAACACCAGATCCAGCACTGGGACTTGATCAACAGCCGATAACGCACCGTGACGTCACAAACGTAGGTGGCAGTAGTGTTCTTTGACAAACATGGATGCCTCCAGTAAAGCACAGTCACATGAAATTACTCCTAATTAAAACATTTATCATTCATTGAACAGTACACAGTAAATGTTGCAGTGTTAAAGTAACACTTTGAGAGTACATTTGGTCTCACCCTTATTCAAAGTGGGACCAAATGTACTCTTGAGTGTTACTTTAACGCTGTAACATTTACTGTGATGTAATAATTTTATATTTAAAGTACTTTCAGAAGTTTAAATTCTAAGACTAAAAGCTGTAGCTCAGCTAATTAGGTAACCTTTATGTTATCACTGTCAGTCTATTAAAAATGGAGATCCACAAGGCGCAGTTCTTGTGCCTCGCATATTCTACTTATAATCTCTTTTATGATCAATCTTCTCTTCTTCCAAGAAAAATCCAGATTCAGTTTTTGTGAAATCATTTAATGTATTCATCTTAATATCATTTGTTTTGGCTGAGTTGTAAGAACAGCTCTGTTTGCCATTTCTCAGCCATCTTCCAGGAAAAACTGTCAAAATGTAATCTGTATTTCACATAACTTGATACTCAGCTTTAAAAAGATCAAAGTACAGTTTTTATAGTCTTATGCCTTTTACAACCCAAAGAGTCTTTTTTTGGCCTCCTTGCAGCTAAATAAAACCCATTTAATTGTACATTGAATACAATTTTTTACCATTTGCTATTTTTTTTTGCTTTTGGGACAGGGATACATTTTCCTCTCTGAGGTGTTGGCATTTGTGTAAATATAATAATGTTGATACAAGTCAATCACTCCATGAAGAAAAAGCTAAAATAAGTTATTGTACTGATATTTAAAACCTTGGATTTCTAATAATAGCCTTAATGGAAGGTCCAATGAGCCTCTCAGGTTGTAGAGCCCTGGGCTTGGACCATCTGATAGTAATCACAGCTGATTCAATAAACTTTTGCATTGTCTCCAATCAGAACTTTTTAAGATAAGAATTAATTGCGAGGCTCAGCAGTATTTATGTCTAAAATGGTCTAAGAGGAGATTATTGCAAGCATTGGGTTGTAATGTAGGATTCATATTTCTAAGCAGTTTGAAAGAAACTGCAATATTTCAGATTTTATAAATATTCTGCACCTCCTTTTCAGGTTTTATTTTTTTAAATCTAAATCAAAGCTTAAGTTTTTGTTATTACAGCCCAAAAGCAAAGCGGAGATCATTAATGAGAAGACACAGGCTTAGGTTGGACGTTTTTATGATGACTCTGGTATTACAGTGCAGGATGTTCTCAATCAGGAAGGAGATCTACCGTCTGAGTCCAAACGGCTAAAAAGAAACCCATCATCAGGAAGAAGCAGAGCAGCAAAAGACAAAGAAAAGAAAGAGTCACAGTCAGACAGGTAATCAGGTCAGGAAACACATTTCCACCGGGCAGGACTGTGTGTTTGTGGCACTTCAATGGTTTCAGACCCTCTGAGTGAGTTTGGGGAGGAGGTGAACTGCTCAAACCTGCGAGTGTTTTCATGCTACGCGTGTCTTTGTGTACATTCACTAATTGCACTTGAGGATGAGGATATGTGGAGACTACATTGCCGGTCAGACGTCTGCAGGAGATTTTTTTTTTCTTTTTATGGGGAATTTTCTGGGGAGGTTTGGAACACAAACAGAAAATCAAATCGTTTTCAAAAAAGCAAACAGCGGCTGAGGTTCTGACAGAATCAGACGGGTTTAAAGAGCCTCTGTAAAACATAAAGGTAGGAGAGAACCGAGCGGTACCAGGTTCTGCTCAACAAGAACATCCAAACCAGAAGAAAAGGTGAAGTTTCATCCTGAGATGGTTGAACTGAACCCTTCACTTTAAAACACAAAGAAGCAACAGGAGATAAGAGTTAGCTTATAAAACAGGAAGTTCCATTAAAAAAAATAAAACAAAAACCAGAATCATGTTTCCATCCATGTTGCATTAGAGCAGAAACATAGTGAGAACATGTGAGATTGTGTCTAAAAGAGAGCCGTGACACTGTGGCTGATGGAAGTCCTTCATACAGCAGGTCCAGCTGACAGGAGCAATGGAGACTCTTCTAATTTCACACCAAACAATCTAAACCGCAGAACTCAGGAAGCTTTCCTTTAATGGTTCTACCCAGAGCAGAGCATCCTTATCTGTCAGTTGTTCCAGACCTACCCCTAAAATTGAGTTAAAGCGCTTAGCTAAACGTATTAAGTTTGATCTCATTCCAAATGGAAACGATGAAGAGAAGAGCTTATTATTACCCTGGATCAAGAAGAATAGCAGCAAATTTAAGGTTCAAATGTACAAGTCAAATAGCAGAGGTGAAGTATTTGTGGAGTTCAGCTGTTTTTTCTATAAAGTCAAACAATAAATGAATTAAAACTAGTAATACGACTGGCTGAATTTATCATGTTTGCTGATGATACACAGATTTTTGCAAAGGGTCAGTCTTTCAAACAGAAGCAGCCATTTAAACTTGAGCAGGTCATAGAAGGTTAGACTTTACCAGGACCGGTTTTCATTTTGATCACTTTTACAGTTTTTCCATAATCATAGGTCGATGATTTAAGATTTTCACACAGAACAGAGTCTGATGATCTAACTCTGCTTTCTTTTTCTATTCCGTTTAATATTAAAATACGCTTTGTTTCAGCTACTTTCAAGGCCACAGTTTAATCTCCAGGCTTAGAGTCCAGAGAGACAACCCCAAACACTCACGCTGTCCCCCTAGATTTCAGCTCTGAATTAAACCTGTCAGATCTTTATACAACTCTAAAAGATTCTCCCACTTGAAGTTCAAGAATTATTTAGGTTCGAACAATAGTTTTAAAGCGACAATTTATTTGAGGCTTAACTTGAGGTGTGTTGAAAACACGGGGAACAGAGTGGGAGGATGTGGTTTTCAGTTAATCCACAAATTCTCATCATGATTCAAATGGCCAAACACCAAATCCTGATACAAAGAAGACTCCAACAAACCAGGATGATGACAGCACCTGACTTGGAATGGATGGACCTTAAGCTACTGAAACGCATCAGCGCTCCAGCTTCAGACTGCTCTACTGCGAGAGGAAAAAACTGACAAACACTTCTGGACGCTCATTGAAATGTCTACATAAAAACTAAGCAAAAAGTCCTGCTGCCATGTGGTCTTCATGACCCAAATGAATGAGAATTTATACGGGTATTGTAAGAAAACGGTAACTACATTCCCTCCTGCCGTCTGCTAAGAAGCAGAGGTTTTACTGGAGGAGGAAGCTGGACGCAGTATTCCTAATAATCCAGACAGTATTAGTAGTAGGGTTAGTGCCCTTCTTAGTACTAATAGGAAATAGTTGGGGGGGGGGGTTGATGAGTGGTAGGTAAAATTGAGCAACTCGGTGAGCATGAATGAGATGAGATGTTGTTCGGGGTACATTTTTTCCACATTGGTCAATTTGAAGAGTATAAACCCCTTGAACCCTAGTCGACCTCTGCAGATGGCCGCTCACATACAGTCTGGTTCTGCTGGAGGTTTCTTCCTGTTAAAAGGGAGTTTTTCCTCTCCACCGTCGCTACAAGCATGCTTAGTATGAGGAATTTCCTTTGAGTCAATAAGTTGATGCAATCAACTAGCCTCGTGAGACCATCCTGATCTCGCGAGCTTTCAAGATTTCACTCGCTAATCAGTCTGGAGACTCTCCGTTAAAGAAAATTTGGAGCCGTTCACCAAACGAACGTCCAATCAGCGTTGGCTTTGAGGCGGGTTGAGGTGTAACTCAACGAGAAGCGCGACAGTTCAGTCTAAAGAACATGGCGGCTTCAGCCGATGAAACTAGCGTTAGCGTGGCTATCGAGCAAGTTTTATCGGAATTACAGAGTATTTCTTCACTGAAAGAAGAGCAAAACACTGCTCTGGAGAATTTTCTCAGAGGAACAGATGTTTTTGCTCTTCTCCCGGCTGGTTTCGACAAGAGTAGCCTGGCTTATGGTTGTGTTTTCGTCGTCGCTCTGTTGGTACGTCATATGCTTCGTTGATCTGATTGGTTTATTTGGCCCGTCTATCACCAACATGGGCCAATCAGCTAACCAGTATTTTCGCCCCTTCCCAAAATTACTTCAACGGAAGGTTAGCAATCAACTGGTTTTCCTAAGAAAACTTTGAATCAATTTGACTGGATGATATGGTTGAACTGTAAAGTGCCTTGAGATGACATGTGTTGTGAATTGGTGCTATAGAAATAAACTGAATCAAATTGAATAAAAATGGAAGAGATCAGCATTCAAAGGTTCCTGCTGTGTGATTTTCTTTACAAAATGAACGACTTTGTTTCGTCTAGAGGAACAGCAAACTAACAACCTCTGATGAAGGGATATCCATCGGCACAGTGTCGCCTGTCTGTTCCTTAAAAAAAAAAGGACGTCAACAATCAGGAGAAAAAGTGGTGATTTTTACATTCTGTGCAAAATTCAACAATAAGTAGCCCACAACATATCATTAGTACATTTTTCCTTCTGCCTACACTCTTCAGTCAGTTTTTCTTCTATTTACAGTTAGCTTCTAATATTAGTACCATCATTGCCCAGCAGGGTTAAGACATTCCTCAGAGGGACGAAATCCACCTCTGCATGGATCTCTGCTGCTTCCACTCCTGGTTCAAGAGGACACAAGAATTTCGGATAATGTACAGCCTTCCTCTCCATTTACATCACTCACTTGATTATCTGGTTGTTAACAGAACCCAGAATAAAGTGGATTACTTTGGAAATTTGATCTGTTAGTCTCTTTTCCAGGATCCCTGATAAGTATCAACCTTTTTCCAGGACCAGCGTTTGGATCACGAGGTGGATTTCAGTCCCTTCCTTCAGTGTTTAAAAACAAGCTGTCAGTTTAAAAGGCATTGAGAAGGTAGAAAACACAGGGCACACAGTGAAAAACCAGGGCAGAGGGGAGGGAGTATAAAAATAAAAATAAAAAAATAAAAAACTGTGGCAGACGAGACGATCACTTCACTTTGTGGCAGGAAACATAAAAAAAGTTAAAAAAGAAAGTTTCATAGGTGGGTCGGAGGGGGGAGATCAGGTGAGGAGAGGGGGAGGAGGAATGTCTCAAGGTTTCAGAAGAACTTGTCATCTATGCGGAAGTGCGGCCGTGTGACATCGTCCGGGTTGATGAACACCGATATGGACTTCCCGGGATTCTCCGTCACCAGCTGCTGCAGCTTCTTGGCCAGCCGGTCGTCGGGCTGGTTGTCGCCTCCGGAGTCGGACTGCGGTGAGGGCAGGTTGGTGGAGCTGCCTCGCCACTGCAGCTCCACCGTCAACCTGTTGGCGGCCTTGGCATGCTCGATGGTGGTGCGGAGGTGCTCGGCCGGGTCAGAACGCACCGAGGACAGTTTGCGGGCGTGCAGCATGGCCGTCTCGTCCGACAGGTGCTCCAACATGTTGCACTGAGGGATGAAGTAGTTGGGACACATCTTGTTGACGAGGCAGTGCTGCAGGTCGTCAATCAGGCCCAGCAGGAAGTGGGCGGAGAAGTCTTCCTGAGCCAGGTAGTTGGCAGGGAGACGGTCGCAGGCCCACAGCATGATACTGCGCAGGTGGTAGGGACTGATGGCCTTTGGCCGGGACAGCAGCTTGATGATGATAGCCTTGCAGGCCTGATACGCCTGCATCAGGCTTGAAGAGATGCACTTCTTTAGCTGCACCTCACTGCGGGCGAATGACAGCCGCCACTCGTTCTCCTTGCGGCCTTTGTAGGAGCAAGCAGGGACGAGGTAGAAGCCGCTGATCACCTCCTCCTCCGTGATCTTCCCGTCCCAGAAGTGGTTCTCCATCAGCCAGCTCTGAGCTACCGCCGGCCAGCCTTTAAATGACACGACGGGAACGATGTCGTAGAGCATCCTGCTGCTGCCGACTCCCAGGATAACGGAGATGATGGTCCCGTTCCGCTCCACCTTCTCGACCCTTGGCATCCCTCTCTGTGGCTTCTTCTGCACCTCCAACAGCACAAGAGATATGGACTGGTAGAACCAGTCGGCCACTAGTGTTGGGGAGAAGAAGTAGTTGGTGGTCCCGTTGATGTGGTCGACGATGGTGCAGCAGTCCTTCCACTTGTTGATAGTTCCTTCGTCAAAGAGGCGGAGGCTGAGCCAGGAGTGGCCCAGCGCAGAGTGCCTCATGTCCAGGGTCACTGGCTGGTTGCGATCGTGCAGTTTGAGTGCGGGGACCAACAGAGTGAAGTCCATGTCGTAGTCTGTGCCGCGGGCGTAGACGCTGAGCTCATCGAGGTCCATGTCCACCACACCTTCCCGAACACCTCCAGAAAGGAGCAGGTACTCATTGGCCACTGGGAGCTTCTGATCCAGTTTCTGAACCATTCCTACGATGGAGAAACAGAAAGACCCAATCAGGAAAGGGATCAGATCAAAGGTCTCCAGTAAAATCACCGGAACCCCGGTCTCTGACAAACCTCATACAGAATCCGCCCTCAGCTAAAGAGGTACACTCAAAGGAGCAACAAATAAAAGTGATACCTGGAGTTTTAAACAAACACACAGATCGCCAATTCAAGAGAGACGAGGACATATTGGAGCTAAATCCAAGATGATGACGACAACACAGCCACAGTAAGGATGCTGAGGCATCTAGGATATCGCTAAGATCTTTCCTGTCCACTTCTCTTACTGGTCTCCATGTTTGCCGCCTACTGCAAACACTGCGGTCTGTTTTCACAAGCCAGCTAATCACTGCAGCGAAGTACGCCTGAGACGACTGGGGCAAAACGTGAATAAAGGCCAATTTCTGTTTCTAACGCATATAGACCTGTCACGATAACAAATTTTGCAGAAAGATTAATTGTCTCAAAAATTATTGCGATAAACGATAATATTGTTTGAAGACCTTTTTACACTGATTTAATGTAAATGACGTAATAATGCATGCATTTTCCTGCCAAAGATAAAACGAGAAATAAAAATTAAATGAACTATCAGTCTCTGTTAACTTAAAATACACTTGAATAAAAACTAAACACAAGATAAAACCACAGTGAAAATAAAAACGTGTATACAAAATATCACGTTGGTGATATGTTTTCTGGGGAGTTCATCCTGTCTATCAAATGTCTGCAACATTTTTTAAAATGCCGGCTTTTCAACAATATTAAATGGGAGCATCTCTTTAGCAATTAAATGAACTACACTGTCTGTGAGCGCGTGCCACTTTGCGCCGTCATTTTTGTATGCTGCCTGTCGATTAATTGCTTCATTGATGGTGGACTGTCGCAAACTTGAAGACACAGACGGGCCACCGCTTGTACTTTTTGTTTCAAGCTGGAGAAACTTTGCTGGGTGGTTGTGCTTTAGGTGCATGTGTAGGTTGGTTGTATTGCTGCTCTTAGTTGCTACTGTTTTATCACAAATGCGACATACTGGCTTGCATAGGTTCAGCGGTTCGCCTCTGTCATTTGGTTTGAATCCGAAATACTCTCACACTGCAGCTGTTGCGCTAGGCTTTCAAACCAGTTCCATTTCGAGCTTTTTCCCCCCAATATAAGATGTGTTTTTTTTTACCTCGCTAACTCCTAACGGGGCTCTAAAGCTGCAGAAGTACAAAATGATGCACGCCGACTACCTGATGCGATAGTCCACTCCTTCTCCCTCCTCACCTCACCGTTAAATCTGTCACTGTGCTTGACAACGCCCCCCATGCAGAGGTACTGCAACCGTTGCGCAACTCAAAAAAATCCTGACTACACGTCGGACGGTTGCAAACCCACGTAGACCTCAAGTGGAAGTGCACAGAGAAAAAGCAGCTGTTATTAGTCCTTGGTTTGGCTTTCCGGCTGTCTGTGTGGTCGTCCTTCTCGATTCGGTGCAGGGGCAAGCCATTTTTAAAAACCGGAGAACGACTACAATGGACAACTACGACAAAAGGTTAATCGAGGAGATTTGGAAGTACAACTACTTGTACGATGCCTCAGACAAATTATATAAAGATGCCAAGGTCTCTGCCAAAACGTTCTCGTGACCATCCGCCAAAGTTCTCGCAAGTTCTCGAATAGGCTCCCCCTTGTGCTTTGGTGGGAAACTGCTCTGCATCCCTAGAAATTTCAGACTGACGGTGCAGAAGCATACCAGCAAAACTGGTTCGCGACCAGACCCAAGAGAGATTTGATGTGTGCGGATGCAGAACAATCTGGCCTTTAGAATACCAGAACACATCAGTAAGTACAAAAAGAAAAAATCACAGCTGGTTTCTACTTTTTCAAAGACTTTTTGTGTCTTCCAAGTAGGGCTGCAACTAGAGATTATTTTGCAAGTCGAAAAAACTGCCGATTATTTTTTTCGAAAAATTGATTAATAATTGGATAGCTAAAGGTTCTTCAAAGAAGTTTTTCTACGAAATTAATCCAAGTGAAAATAAAACTTTTCAACTTGCGGTGTTCTGGATAGGCATATTGATGGACGAAAAAAATATTTTTTTAATCCTAAATGTGAAATGTTTATAGATTTTTTTTTACAATTTTGGTATAATTACCAAAATCTAAGCAGGTTGCTCTGTAAACTAAAAAAATGTTTTAGAGTCTCTACACTCCAGGTAACGATTAAAGGAATAGTACACCCAAAACATGATTAGCCTTCATTTTCTACTCACCCCCATGCTGAACAACACTCTGGAGTACTTTTTTGATATCTCAAATGCATCTGGAGATCTGGGAGGCTTCTTGCTGTCTGCTGACATTCAAATAATGGAGGTCTAAGGTGCCCGAGGCAGAAAGGTCCATAAAAGTCCACAAAAAATGTGTCAATATTCCTCCATACTGCTCGTCCAATGTATTCCAAGTGTCCTGAGTTGGTAGCGTCCATAATTTACTCGAAACGAAGTCATTTAGAATGTTTTTAGAGCATAAACAGTAGTGTATAGGATTTCCTAAAAGCGCGCGCCTGCGAGTTCACGAGCCTACGGAAACTGCGGCAGACCAAACCAGATGAAAGTGCGCGAGGAATATTGACACGTTTTTTGTGGACTTTTATGGACCTTTCTGCCTCGGGCACCATAGACCTCCATTATTTGAATGTCAGCAGACAGTAAGAAGCCTCCCAGATCTCCAGATGCATTTGAGATATCAAAAAAGTACTCCAGAGTGTTGTTCAGCATGGGGGTGAGTAGAAAATGAAGGCTAATCATGTTTTGGGTGTAGTATTCCTTTAATCGATCACTAAATTAGTTGATGATTATTTCAATTACCCATTAATCAAGATTAATCCAATTCATTGTTCCAGCCGTACTTCCAAGAGTGATATTTCTAAAGTCTGTTGAATATGGTGAATATTTATGGACTAAATAACAAGAGGCTGCTCACTCTTTATATCTGTAAAGCCTAGCAACTAGAAGCTGTCGATAGTCCACAAGTTTACTATAGCCCCATTTACACTACCCTTTTGAAACCATGATACCAGATCGGTCCTAGTAGAGTATAAATGGCACGTAAAACTGAAACAAACCGTCCCAGACACAACCAAACCGTGCTAAACTGGTACTTGTTCATCAGTTCAGGCTCGGTTCTCAGATAACATAGAGATTATGAGCAGATCGCATCGTCTCCTTACAGTCAGCCTCCGTAATCATGAAATTTCAGACATTCATAAAAAACAAACTTCCATACCGTTACATAATGTCCAGTGATGATTCTGCTTAGCAGTGTGATGAACCTCAACCACTATCATTGTTTCCTGCCTCTGTAAGCACTGATTAGACCATCCTGAATGTTATGGGTGCCGCAGTGTTGATTTGCTTGTTTACCTCTAGAGAGCAGTAGTACCGTAGATCGTCACTAGGAGGCGAGGAACCATGCTAGGGTGGTGTGTAAACGGTTGTAAGGAACCAATTCATTCTCGGTCCAAATTCTGCATGGATTGGTTTTCAGCGGGTAGTGTAAATGGGGCTTATATGGAGCAGAACATTTGTCCGCCAGCTAAAATTATGTAATTCAGCCTTGCGGTCCTTGCAGAAGTGTCAAGCATTAATCAAGATTTAAAACAGTGATGATGGAGAAGACCAGTAAAGAGCAAGTTTTAGACATGAAAGAAAAGAAGAAACCAAGAAAAAGCTTCTGAAATCTGGTGCATTATGATTCTTCACCAGACTTTACTTTAGTCGACCCTAAAAAACCTCCAACGTCCAGGAGGAGTAGAAGGCAAACACCAATAGTACCAAACCACACGTGCTGAGGTGCCAAATGCTGTCAAAACATAAAAAACAACATAGAAAAACAATAAAACCACAACTGGGTGTGGCAGCCCTGTGGTTAGGGCATAGAGCTTGGAATCCCGAGGTTCTGAGTTTGAGCCCCATTCCCACAGAATGACACTCTGATGGCAGCCCACTGTTCTCCAAGGGGATGGGCTAGATGTAGTGATAAATTTCTCCAATGTGAGATCAATAAAGTTCAATTATTAATGTCATTCTTATTGTTTCACATGTGGCAGCTTATTTGACGTTTCAAAACCCCTTTTTGGTGTGACCAGTTGACAGGTTAACTCTCTGGATTAGGGTGGAAAGAATTACCGTAAATTCTCTAATATTGGCCTGTATTCCAATAGCGGCCGGGAGTCTAACATTGGCTGGTCTCGCTGTCAGAGGAGGTAAATAATGGCCGGTCTCTAATACAGGCCGGGGCTATAAACGTTTTTTCTGGGCATACCTCAACATTATACTTGTGGTAGTAACATACAAGTACCACAGCCCTGCGCAGCTGGACGACAGGCCCTGACTGCTGCCCGTCTGCGCAAGGAAGAGAACAGACACGCAGCAGAACAGGAGGAGCGCGAGTGATGAGGAGATTAAAGGGAGAGATGAAGAGGAGGAGAAAAACTGAGGAGGAGAATTAAACAGAATTGGAGGATTTTTTTTTTTTTTTACTTCAAACCAAGCGAGACATGGTAACTGTACTTTTTCAATAAATGAACCTAGTGTTTTATAGGTTCAAATAGACACAAAATCTAATTTTTATTCATTCCACTGGTAGTCTGTTTTGCTCAAATAGCAATAGAGGCCTGTCTCTAATTCTGGCCTCTATCCAATAAAGGCCTGGACCGCGATGCACTTGAGTGAAATAAAGGCCCGGGCCTATATTAGAGAATTTACGGTAATTGGATTAATCTGGACTGATCGATTATTGAAATAATCAACTAATTTAGAAATCGATTAAGCGTTAACTGGAGTATAGAGACTCTAAAATGTGTCTGTAGCTGACAGAGCAACCAGATTAGAGCAGTAATTATATCAAAATTGTAAAAAAATATATAAACATTTTGCATTTCAGGAGAAAAAAAACATACTTTTAGTTTGTCACTATGCTCTATCCAGAACTCCTAT